GAGGTCTCGCTGCCCAGGCGGGTCTTGAACCCGCGGGCTCAGGCAATCCACTCACCTCAGCCTCCCAAAGGCACAGGATTACACGCTGAGCCACCACGCCCGGCCACAATTTTTCCAAGCACATATTTTACCTTGGCAAGGTAAAATTTATCCAAAGAATGTAAAGATTATTCAGTGTGTAAAAGGTTGCATTATTCAAAATGTGAAAATTTTTTTTTTAAACTACAATCAACAGGTGTACAAAAAGCTCAATAAAATGTAAACCCATTTGTAATATAAACTAGATTTATGACAGCTCCTTATCATGATAGAAAGTTCATCATAAACCAATACCCATGATCATACTTAAATGGCAAAACACACAGAGACATGTCCAAGAAAAAGTGGAACACTGCTGCAAAAAAAATCTGACCAATGCAATACAATATTAAATAAAATTTACGGTAAGTAATGAAGATGATAAAACAAACATGTTTAAATACAACTGTATAATGACTTTTGCAAGAGTTTCAGAAAATAAAACTACGAGCAGCTAGGTGGTAAAAGTTGTAAATTAAAAAAATTTTTTTTAAAGAATCTTAATAAATCTAGTTGTACCATGAGGGAAGGGGTTGGATAACCATATCTGGCCTTCTCAAAACCTTATCAAAACACAAGCTGGTGACAATTTCCCCAAAGGATCCTACACAACTGTAAACCAGTCAGAATCCATTCACTGAGGCACAGTTGGACGAAGAACAGATCCAAGTTCCACTACTGGCTCCATCATCAATAAATTGTTTACCCTGGATGTGCTCTGTTAATTACTGCTAATTAATCTGGCTGCTACATGTTGAATAGGCTTTTAGGGGAAAGAGTGGAGGACAGTTGGGAGGCTGTTAGAATGGTACAGGTGAGATGATGGTGGCCAAAACCTGGGGGTAGTGGCAGTAGTTGCAAAAGTCATCAGATTCTAAATGTATTTTGTTGATGAGGTGGATGTGGACTGTGGAAATGGCCAGGGTTTCTGATCTGAGCAACAAGCCTAGTAGTCATACTACTGACTGGAATAGGGAACATGTAGGAGGGGCAAGTTTTAGGAGAAAAGCATGCTTTTGACATGCCAGGTTTAAGATGCCCATAAGACATTCAAGTAGAGTCTGAGAAACCAAGTTTGATACTGCAAATCTGGAGTTCTGGGAACAAGTCACGGTTGACAAGATAAATTTGGAAGTTATTAGTATTAAAATAACTGTAGAAAAGATATTATGCTACTGTCACAAAACTGATAGTTCTGTTGGGAATATGAAGACAAAAAGGAATCCAAAACTGTTCTAAATATTATCAAAGAAAAAGAAATCAGAAAAAAAATCAAACTATATAAAAGAATAAATAAAACCTCTGAAATGAACCACAAATCTGCTATGTAGTTTATGTAGTTTAAAATGAGAAAAATAAAATCCCAGTGAGCACACCAAGGCCGTATCCTTCGTACTGCTGCCGCTCCCGCTCCAGCGTCTGCTTGATGACTGTCTCCCGGGAACCGTACCGCCTTCCCTGCCTGTCTTTGATGCTGTTATGTAACTCAATCTGCTCCAACTCACCACTGAATCGATTTAAATACCTGAAGAATAAGATGATTTGAGTTATATATATTTGGTTTATATAATTAATGAAAAACATCATCCCCTGCCTTCACTTGTCCTCTGAGCTCTTTACCCCTTCCATGGAGAACTAGACCATTTTCTTAACTTCAGTGACCAAATCACAGCCTGCTATCAAGGATATTCAACTACCATCTCCATGTGGATGTCCCCTAGTGGCTTCGCCCTCAGCACACAAAAACTGAACTTGCCATCACACTGGCCCCACAATCCCCACCAAATCCACTCCATCTCTTGGGCTCCCCATTTCAGGAAGTAACTGTCTATGCAAGGAATGCAGATGCTCTGTGACTGCTCTCTCTCCCTTTTACTCTACATCTAAGATTTCAGTAAAGACCAAGACTGCTACCTCAGTAATATCTCTGGAATCTCTCATGCTGCTACTAACTAAGCAGAGGTCACCATCATCTCTTGCCTGGAATGTTGCATCAGCCTCTCAATGATCTCCTGGTCAAAGCCATGTCCCCTCAATTACATTTTCCTCATTCTCACTGTAACCTTTCTAAACTTAAATATGATCATTTCAGGTGCCAGTCGTAAAAGACTCTGATGGCTCCTAATGTCTTTAGATAAGGTCCAGACTCTTACACTGGCACCAGAGGTCTTTCATGAGCTGGCTGTCACTTACTGCACCTGCCATGCTTCCCTCACTAAGAGACCCTTCTCACTTCTGGGTCTCTTAGATATTGTTCTCTCTGGCTATAGGTTCTTCAAACTAACTTAGTTCTATCTGCTGACTCCTACCCTTGAGGTGCCAATTTAGATACTACTTCTCCAGGAAGCCTTTTCTGTTCCCAAAAACCTGGGTTAACTACCACTAGGCCCATATAGGTCACATACCTACTACAGTGGCTAAGCCAGGAAAGTCTTTCTGAAAATAAAGTCTATCTGTTCTTCTACAAATCCAGAACAGATTTCTGCTTCTTAAAGAACTAGATTAGACAATTTCCTTTTCTGGCCCTTTGTTCATAATACGCCCAGTGATTACCTTTCAATTAATTCACAAGCACCTTTCTTTGAATATCCCACTTTCTGGGGATCAAGATGATTATGAAACCACTGCAGTTTTTCACCTAAAAAAAAGTCCAAGACAGTTTAGCATAAGTCATCATTTGAACCAAGAGGTATTCATTATAATTCTTAACATCAATGTGTTTAAAACAGAACAGAAATTTATTTCAATGTTAAGTATAAAGTCTTGTGTGGGCTCAAAGCTAATTAAACCAGTCTGTCAGAAATTAAACTGTCACATTTTAATTTAGAGAGGAGACAGATGTGGGAGGGAGGCTCTTCTGCATATATTTCTTATCCAATATGGAAACAAAGAAAAAAGAAAGAATAACATGAAATTCTAAGTATTTACTATTTACAAAGCAAAGGACACAATTGTCTGAAACAATAAAATGAACACTTGATTGGGTAAGTGATGAAAATGATATCTGTTGAACATTTAACAAGCTATAGGCACTAAGTATATATCCTTACAATCCTATGAGAATTGGTACTATTACTATTCCCACTTGAAAATGAGAGAGGGTAAGTAACTTTCCAGTTAGTAAATACATTAAGTTAGTATACATTAAGCATAAAGAAGCTACCAAATACTATGCAAAGAGTGATTGAGATAAATTATCAAAGAGCCAACTGACCGTCAGGGTCACCTTCAATTAGATTTCTCAATATCACAAATGAAGAAATGGCCCTTCCCAGAATACTGATACCCCATCCAGAAATACTATTCTATTACCAGTGAATCATTAGAGATGAGGATTCAAATACTTTTAACTGTAGTAATAAAGCCTTACAGTCAATATTTAAAAATCTCAGGCTTTTCAGTAAAGATTTAACAATAAATCTGACCAAAAAAAGGGATCATGACATTGGGTTACAGAGTGAAGACATATGCATCCATATCATTAAATATGAATTGTTACTTCCATAATATTTAGGTCATATTCCTTCATAATTCTAACAGAGAACTAAAATTAAACTTCAAATAAACCGACAGACACATGGAATATTTCTATGTGCAGACAGGCAGAATAGTAGATAATATGAACTAAACAGTTACTGGAAAAATGAGTCCGAAATCATTAAAATTATTTAATCTAAAAGTTTAATGATTGAGTTCTTTTGTTTTTATCAAGTCTTGTAAAAAAATTTACTTTGATAAAAATAGTATTTCACTAGGAGAGCAAAAAGAAGAACATAGGTATAGGGCAGAAACCACTGTACTCTAGGCAGAATTTCAAATAAATAAACCCACTTACCAATAAGGCTGAGACGTAAGGCCTTTTCAGTCTTTAACCTTGAAATAAAAGTTATGTTAAAAAAATTTCCAAAGCAAGATTTAAAAATCTGTCAAAAAGCAACAAAAAGAAAAACTGCCCAAATAATTTTAATTTAAAGGTCATTCTTTTACACATATGAAATTAATTTTTTTAACAAAGAAACATCAAACACCTAGCTTCTCTTTTAAAGTCACTGGAAAAAAAGGTTTTCAGAAAGTTTTTTTTTTTTTTAGTTCTTCAGTGACTAAAGAAAGCCTATAGGACAAACACAACTGAAAGTGTGATATAAGTATGGATGTTCAGATAGGTTTTATAATATACAGAACAGTTATGCACACCTTCTAGAAGACTGAGTGCTGCCACCAAGATCACAATGCAGTATTGTTGTTACCTTTTAAACTTCAACAAGAACAAAACAGAATGATTACTTTTCATAAATTTGAAAAGAATTATAACAAAAAAATTCTCAGAAAGTATGTGGATAATATATATCTCCTATTATTGATATTCTGAGTTCTTATTCATTCAAGAGACTTTTGAATACTCAGTCTTTGCCACACATTCTGCTAGCCCCTACAAATAGAGAAATGAACAAAATAAAAAAATCCCACTGTCCTATCCTAACAAAGCTTAAAATGAAAAGGACAATGAAAACAGGGAGCTGCATATGGAGCCACGAAAACATATTGAAGCACCTACTAGACTTTTTAGGTTTTGGAAAGGTTTTCCAAAACACATAACCTTTAAGCTGAGACCTGAACATGCAGAGAAGTTATTCTGGATTTAAAAAGGGGATGGGGACCAGAGAAATGGGGGGGAAAAATCTTAGCTAGAAGAGAAGGCTCTGTATAAAGAAGGATGTACACATGGCTTTTACCCATAAAAGAGTAGGAAAACTAGATTTAGTTTCCCATTTTATACAACCAAAAAACGAGAAACAAAATGAAAACTTTTTATTTATTTATTTATTTTTTGAGTCAGAGTCGCACTCTATCGCCCAAACTGGAGTGCAGTGGCATGCTCATGGTCATTGCAGCCTCGGCCTGGTAGACTCAGGTGATCCTTCTGCCTCAGCCTTCCAAGTAGCTGGAACTACAGGCGTGTGCCACTATGCCCAACTAATTTTTTTATTATTTATTGTTAAATGGGGTCTCTCCAAGTTGCCCAGATTGGTCTCGAATCCCTGGGCCCAGGCAATCACCTTGTCTCCACCTCCCAAAGTGCTGGGATTACAGGCGTGAGCCACCATGCCTGGCCCCAAAATGAAAACTTTTTAATAAAAATTTTCACAGATGGAGATAAAATATTTATAACATAAATAACAAAGGACTTATATCTAGACTATATAAACAGTTCTTACCACGTTATTATAGACAATACCAAAAATGGCCAAAAGATTTGAACACACCCTTCATCAAAGAAATATAAGTGACTAAAAATAACACAGAAAGAAAGATGTTCAATATCCATGCCTTAATCCCAGCACTTTGGGAAGTGGAGGCAAGAGGATTGTCTGGAGTCCAAGGATTCGAGACCAGCCTGGGCAATTTGGCTGCCTTGCCTCTACAATTAAAAAAAAAAAAAAAAAAGTCCAGGTGTGGTGGTGTACACTTGTAGTTCCAGCAACTTGGAAGCCTAAAGCAGAAGGATCACCAGAGCCCAGCAGGTCGAGGCTCTGGTGGTCGTGAGCATGCTACTGCACTCCAAACTGGGTGACAGAGTGAGACTCTGACTCAAAAAAAAGAAAATAAATGGTCAATTCATTAGTAGTCAAGAAAAGAAAATTAAAAATACATTGAGAGAGCACTATATACCTACTAGATTGGCTAAAATTAAAAAGAAAAAAACTTGCAATACAATATTCAAAGATATGCAGTAAATATAAACTTTATACTCCAGTGGTGACATACAAAATGGTACTATCACTTTTAAAAAGGTAACCTCTTATACACTTAAACAGACACTTATCATATGATCCAGCAATTCTCATAAACTCAATTTTGTATATACTTAAAACAAACATCTACCATGTGACCCAGCAATTACTTTTCTAGGAACTGAAAGAAAAATGAAAACATATAGCCACACAAACATCTGTATATAAATGTTCATGGCAGCTTTATAGTAGGGGTTGGCAAATATTTTCTTAAATGGTCCAGTAGTAACATTTTAGGGTTGGGGGCCAAGTAGTCTGTCCCAATTATTCAACTCTGTCACTGTAGCATGAAAGCAGTCCTAGAAAATACAAAAGGAAGAGGCACTGATGTTTTCCAAGAAAATTTTTCATAATAATAGGTGACTGGTCCCTTAGTTTACAGACTCCTGATAATAGCCAAAAACTGTGTTAAAAAAAAATTCCAAATGATGATCGACAGGGAACAGATAAACAAGTTGCATATCCATACAATAGAATAATACTTACAACAGAAGGACAACTAACATAAAATGACATGACATGGATAAATCTCACAAACATTATGCTATGTGAAAGAAGGTGGCACAAAAGACTGCATACAGTGTTCTTCCACTTATAGGGAACATCAGGAAAGAGAACTCTTACCTGTCAAGGAACAAATCAGTGGCTGCCTAAGGTTAAGGTTAGAGAGTGAGGACTGATTGGGAAGATGCACAAGGGAATCTTTTGGCAAGATGAAATTGTACTACATATTGATCACGGTGGTAAACCAATGTATATAATTGTCAAAATGTAAAAACCATACATTTAAAATGTGTCCACTTTATTATATGTTAATTATACCTCATAGTTGACTTAAAAAAACAAAGAACACTTCACAACAATTTGGAGACTGGCTCAGAGAAATTTATTATTTTCAAATAAACGTAGAATGAAGAATTTAGTTAGAAGTCAACTGTAATAATTCTGAATGGACCCAGTGGGGACCTGAACTGCAGTCTGAGGTTAATTTAAAACAGTAACTGTATGTAAACATAAAAACATTCTTAAGATAAACAATGTATGAATGTGATTTTTAAAAAGAATTAATCCTTTAAGTGAGGTGCTATTAACAAGATTCTCAAAAGCAGTTGTTTCCTAGATTCTGGCCCATTATAGTTTTCTTTGTTAATATTAATACAGTTGTTTCCTAGATTCTGGCCCATTATAGTTTTCTTTGTTAATAAATCTAATAGAGTCACTTCATTTGTATCTAGAATGCTTTGCCAAAATATTGCTATGCTGAGAAATCATAAAATAAAGTTAAAGTCATATAACATAGAACAGTCATTCACTGACTGTAAATTGTTAACTGTTTGGAATGTGCTAGTTCTTAGTTTCTATGAATAAAAGCAATATTTCATATAGTCCTAAATCAGAGTTTTCACATACCGAAGATGAACATGTTTTAACTTTTCCTCTAGCAGTGCTATTCACTTCCATGGTATTTTTAAGTAAAATGAGGCCATCTCTAAGCATTTTTATCACCACTTGCCGAAAGACATGGTGTCCTAGCAGATACCCTCTCTGACTTTTCCCCTACAGGTCCTTCTCCCTAAAAAGAAACCCTAGGAAGTGGTTCAAAGAATCCTGGGTTCTGTGGAAACATACAGAGAACACAATACTCCAGGCTGCCTGGTTACCAACTGTCCCTGGTAGGCAAAGTTTCTAAGATAGTCTACAATAATTCTTGCTCCTTAATATTTATATCCTTGTCCTCCAAGAGTGTAGATGGACCTAATGACCTACTTCTAATGAATAAAATAGCAACAGTGATACATGTCATTCCAGAATTAGGTTACAAAGACTGACTTCTGTCTACTCATCCTCTGTAGCTAGCCCTCTGTCCCAGAGCCTTCGCTCTGGGGAAACCAAGTTGCCATGTTGTAAGAAGCTTTATGAAGAGGTTCATGTGACAAGGAACAGACCTGAGCCAACCAAGACCTGAGGTCTACTAACAGCCATGGAAGTAAGCTCAGAAGTAGAACTTCTCTCCCTTCCAAGCTCTGGGATGAATGCAGAGTCAACCAACATCTTAACTGCAGCCTTGTAGGATTCCTCACCCAGAAACTGTTTTAAGCTATTAAATTGTGGTATAATTTCTTATGCAGCAACAAATAGCTAAGACAGTATCTGGTGACTGCTATTCATTTCTAAGAAGTCATGGGTACCTGAAGTTCAAGTTAAGTCCTATTGGTAGCTTCTTTTCCCATCTTGCTTACAGTTGTCCCAACAATCTGTGTACCCTGTTAGCAATCATCTTTTGAAACAGTGCAGGGAATCACGAGCATTTCATTTTTTTTTTTTGAGTTGGAGTTTCACTCTGTCACCCAGATTGGAGTGCAGTGGCTGCTCCCGGCCACCGTAGCCTCGACCTGCTGGGCTCCGGCGATCCTTCCGCCTCAGCCTTCCAAGTAGCTGGAACTACAGGTGCGTGCTACCACACCCAGCTAATTTTTTATTTATTGTAGAGATGAGGTCTCATCAAGTTGTCCAGGCGGGTCTCGAACCCGCGGGTTCAGGCAATCCACTCACCTCAGCCTCCCAAAGGCACAGGATTATAGGCCGAGCCACCGAGTCCAGCTTAATCACGAGCATTTCAACATCCTTTTTGTGATCATGCTCCCATTTAAAGTTAACTATAACTCATGGTCAGTGATGCTGCTACTCAAAAAACTGACACAACAGGCCTAAGCCTATGGTTTCACAGCCAAAAAATATGTTGGGCATTACTAAAACTGTATTTGATTCTAGGGCCATGACTGTTAAAATGGTGACTTCATTAAAGTAAAGGAGAAAAAGGAAAAAAACTAACCTGTTCAGAAAATAGCCCAAGAAGAAAAATTAAGTGATGCCTTTCTACTCTGTATTAGTACAAAAGAGCCTTGGCCAGTAGTAGACTTTTCTTAGGACAAGTTATATATGAGATTAGCATGTTGTTCTGGCTTATTCCTCTATAACGCTAATTCTTTAAATCAATTCATAAAATTCTGAATATACTTGACAACATACAAACATTCTAGGCTCACTGTCACAAGTAATTATGGTGAACCAAAGAACTTAATCATATTATAAAGCAGTATTTCCTAAAATACTGCACATTATACCACCAGTACTATGTAAGGTGATTAAGTAGTTCATAGACACAGAATTAAACCATCTTTAATTAAATGATAAGCAACTTGCTTCCCCTCCTCAATTTTTGTTTGATCCTTTCACAATACATTAAGAACAAAACTTAGTATTAGTTTATTTTACCAGTCTTCCAACCTTTGCCAAATCTTTCACCAAGGATAATATAAAAGCTATGTCTCAGGCTCGGACCATTCAGATCAAATGGCATCTACTTGGTTTTAATAGAGATAAAATGTCTGCTTTTTTTATTTTTTTGAGTTGGAGTCTCACTCTTGTTGCCCAAGCTGGAGTACAGTGGCACACTCACAGCCACCACAACCTCGACCTGCTGGGCTTAGGTAATCCCTCCAACTCAGTCTTCCAAGTAGCTGGAACTACAGAGGCACGCCACAACACCCAGCAAGTTTTTTTGTGATTTAGTGTAGAGGCAAGGTCTCACCAAGTTGCCCAGGCTGGTCTCAAATCCCTGGGCTCAGGCAATCCTCTTGCCTCAGCCTCCCAAAGTGCTGGGATTACAGGCTGAGCCAGTGCACCTGGCTTCTGCTTTTAAAAAATAGTTATTTAAGGGAAAACAAATAATAGTATAGGTCAGTGGTTCTCAGTGTGGTCCCTAAGCCAGCAGCAAGAGCATCAGCATTACCTGGAAACTTGTTGGAAATGCAAAAATATTATGACAAAACCTCAAATCTTCTGAATAAAAAACTCTAGGAGGTGAAATAAACACATTTTTAATAGGCCCTACAGATGTATCTCATGTATATTGAAGTTTGAGAAATACTGGTAAAGGTAGTAGCAGAAATTGCAAAATCATAGTAGTAGTAAATTATATTTTAAAAAAGCAAAAATTATACAAGAGATACATACAAATACCTAAAGTTTGAAAACTACTGATTTAAAGCAATACTGCAACTATAATAAGCCTTTATGTAATACTCCACTAAAAATTAGAGTATGCTGTCACAACACTTTCTCGTTCTCTTCTGGAAAATTCTAGCCAAATCATTGTGAAACAGCTAAACTTTAGTAAATACAACTTATGTTTTAGGCGTGGAATCAACATATAATAAACGTTCTGGTTTGCATCAGCTAGAATGCAAATATATCTAACATTTAGTAAAATGGTAAGTATATTCTAAAATAGCCAAAACAATGGCTTTTATTTAGGCTTCATTCACTTTAAGGAATCTCTGAAACACCATCTTCTTTTTCCTCCTCCTCAATCTTACTTGTGGGATTTTCCTCCCAACCTGTGAATGGCAGAGCCCTCTGGACTCAGTCCTTGGCTCCCTTCTCTTTCCTGTCTACATACTCATTAGGTGACCTGATCTTATCTACTCTCATGGCTTGAATCCCATATGGGTGCACATGGCTCCCAAATGTGTGCCTATCGCTAACCTAGCCTCTGAACACTAGACCCAACATATCTCACTACTATCTTATATGTCTCGTAGGTACTTTTTTTTTTTTTGAGTTGCAGTCTCACTCTGTCACCCAGACTGGAGTGCAGTGGCTGCTCCGGGCCACCGCAGCCTCGACCTGCTGGGCTCTGGCGATCTTTCCGCCTCAGCATTCCAAGTAGCTGGAACTACAGGCACGCGATACCACGCACGGCTAATTTTTGATTTATTGTAGAGACGAGGTCTGGCCAAATTGCCCAGGGGGGTCTTGAACCCACGGGCTCAGGCAATCCACTCACCTCAGCCTCCCAAAGCGTGGGATTACAGACTGAGCCACCGAACCCAGCTATCTCGTAGGTACTTTAACCTATAAGCCATATATACAATATATACACAATATATACAATATATATGACTTATAGGTTAAAGTACCTACGAGACATATATATATGCCTCATATATGTATATATAATCACTCCCTCATATCTTTCAACTCTCTACTCTCATGTGACTCCTTTAAAGAAGCCTTCAATGACTATCCCATGTAAAACAGAACCTCTCCCTCACTCTCCATCCCATAACCCTTTTTAACTATTCTTCATTGCACTCATCTCAAACTGCAATTTAAAATATTTATGTTTTAGGTCAGGCACAGTGCTCATGCCTGTAATCCTAGCACTTTGGGAGGCCAAAGTGAGAGGATTGCTTGAGACCACTCTAGGCAACATAGCTAGACCCCATCTCTACTAAAACTAAAAAATCAGCCAGGCATGGTGGCATGCACCTGTAGTACCAGCTACTTGGGAGGCTGAGACCAAAGGATCACCTGAGGCTGGAGGTCGAGGCTGTGGTGAGCCATGATCGTGTCACTGCACTCCAGCCTGGGTGACAGAAACCGCAACTCAAATAATAATTATCTATCTGTTTTAGGTAAGCTCTATAAGAGTAGAGTCCTTGCTCAGTTTTACCCTCAGTGCACAGAACACACTCAACAAATACTTAGGGGATAGAATATTGTGAAAGAGGCTGGGCTCGGTGGCTCAGCCTGTAATCCCAGCAGTTTGGAAGGCTGAGGTGAGTGGATTGCCTGAGCCCGTGGGTTTGAGATCCACCTGTGCAACTTGACGAGACCTCATCTCTACAATAAATCAAAAATTAGCCAGGCGTGGTAGCGCACGCCTGTAGTTCTGGCTACTTGGAAGGCTGAGATGGAAGGATCGCTGGAGCCCAGCAGGTCGAGGCTGCGGTGGCCGGGAGCGGCCATTGCACTCCAGTCTGGGTGACAGAGTGAGACTCCAAGTCAAAAAAAAAAAAAAGAATATTATGAAAGAATACATGTTGAAGGATAAATGCACAAAGGGGCTTTTGACCAATGCATAACACAAATGATTAACAGATACTTACTTTTCCTTTTTTTCTTGTTTGTGGGCCTCTCTTGTAATTTGGGCTGCTTTTCTACTGTATGGATGGATGACTTTTTTTTCCCGTCCTGTGTTTTTTCCTTTTGGAGCTTTAGGCTAAAATGTGTGAAAACATATGAAACAAATAGATACATAAGTGCCTCCACTTACAACATTTTCTATTTTAATAAATTTTAAAAACACAAGTATAACTGAAATACAGTGAACTAGAAATACTACAAGAAAAATGAGGAGATAAGTCAGCCTTGTTAAATAATTCTAATAGTCTGCTTCTATGGTCATAACAGAAATGATATAGTCAGAACTGTTTTCCAGTGACAAAATAACAGCAAAGAAGGGGTCAATATACAGCTCTTCAACTGTTCCACCTTCAAAACAGGCATAGAGAATTGAGTGAGGAGACTCACAACTAGAAACTTATGTTACAGTTAAGAAAATCAAGGAGTTAGGAAGAGTTTAGGTGTACATGGAAAAGAGTGGGTACTGAATCAGGCAAAATAAAAGTTGAGTTCATGGCCTATACAAATTAGAAACAGAGAAAATAACAGATACCATCTCAAACTCAGCACATCCAAAATGGAAACAAAATATTTTTACACTCAAACTGCATGTAAGTTAACTAGGTCACAATTCATTTAGTCCTCCAAACTAGATATCTTCGTGTTGTTTTTTTGTCCACATACCTTGGAATTTTTTTTTCAGTATATATTTTTTTGTAATTCTTACACAATTCTACCTTATCCCACATCTCTATTATTTAGAAATCAGGTTTTGCTCTCTGTAGTAAAAAACAAAAAAAATAAAAACAATAAAATAAGAGCTGAAGACTGTTCCACAAAGCCTTCAAGGATCCACACTCCTTCCATTTTGTTGTCTACCATCCTTAGGCTATAACTTCCTATATGATCCACAATGGTTTCATACAGGTCTACACTCCAGTCAGTGAGAAATAGGGAAAAAATAAAAAAGTATACTCCCCCTCTTTTTTAAAGCATGATCTGGGAAGCTGCAGATCCTTTTGCTCACATTCCATTAACCAAAATTTATTCACAGTGTTATATAAAGGAGACCAGTAAATAAACCTTTATTCTCTGGGGAAAAATAATCCACTACTATAGAAGAAAGAGTATACTAGGGGACAACTGGTGGTCTCTAACATACTTAATTCTGAAAAAGGCCGAGCGTCTCTAGAATCATCTTCAAAACCAATTTCAATTGCCTAATTCAGGTCTCATGATCTTTCATGATTAGTATTGCCTTCATGTTCCTCCTGCTGGTCCTTCTGTCAAGGAAGTCACAGTGCTTCTCTTCCTAAAACACTAACTTAGTAAAGTCCCTCTCCCCTCCTCACAGAGTTCCACCAGTTCAGTTAGGTCCTAAGTCTTCAATGTGAAAAACAGTCTATCCCCAATCTGCTTCTCCAGCGTCATTTTCCATGCTCCTTCACCAAAGATCCTTCACCCCATTCTCAGTAAACTTCCCACCAATCTAGTTACATACCTGCTGTTTCATAACTTCTTGAGACTGCACTTGTTACCTCTGCCTATAAAATCCTTTCCCTTACTCATCCTTTGATAAGATGCAGTTCAAAATTACTTCCTCTGTAAAATTCTAGGCAGAACTAATTAAAATGATCACCAATCCCTCATTCACAAATGTATTCATTCTTTCAACAATTATCCATTGAATGCTCTGCTCACTTTTTTGATAAACCTGACCATAGAAGACATATCCAACTCTGAAACCCTGGATATAACGGGAGGTTGATTACAGGTACAGGAAAATAAGAAGTCAAAGCATCATAAAACAGAGTATACACAGTTTTTTGCATCCGTCTGTGCACAAAAGAGAGGGAGAAAGAGAGGTTTAATAGTATGTTTGGCTTAAAGTCTACCTAGCAAGCATGAATCTAGTAAGAACTATAAGAACATGTGGTAGGCTGCCTCTAGGATGGTCCCATGATCCCACTTCCTGATATTGATGGCTTTATGTAATCCCTCCCTTGGAGTGTGGTGGCTGGGCTCACTTTTAATAAGCAACATTTAGCAAAAGCAATGAGATGCCAATTCCAATGTGAGGTTACGAAAGGACTCTGGCTTCCGTTCTGTTTTCTTTTGCTCTCTCTCATGGAGATGTCATGTAGTGAGCTGCTCTAGGGAGAGACCACATGACAAATTTCTGAGAGAAATCTCCAGGCAACAGTCAGTGAAGAAATGAACCCTCAGTCCAACAGCCCTTGAGGAGCTGAATCCTACTAAGAGCCATGCAAGTGAATGTAGAAGTGGATTCTCCCCAGTTATGCCTAGAAACCACACATGCAAGTGACATCTTCACTGGAACCTCGGGAGAAACCTTGAGGAAGAGGAGCCAGGCAAACTATGCATGAGTCCTGACCCAGGAGACTAAGATAATAAATGCTGTTTTAAGTCACTAAATTTTAGGATAGCATGTGACACCAGAACAAGTAATTACTAATGCAAGAACAAAAAAGTAAAGCAAACATATACACTTTAAAAAGATATTTTGTCCCCACATAACATCCCCCCACATAATATCATAACAAATAAAATGCTTTAAAAAAAAATAGAAAAAAGCCGGGCTTGGTGCTTAGCCTGTAATCCCGTGCCTTTGGGAGGCTGAGGTGAGTGGATTGCCTGAGCCCGCGGGTTCGAGACCCGCCTGGGCAGCAAGACCTCATCTCTACAATAAATCAAAAAATCAGCCGGGCATGGTAGCGCATGCCTGTAATTCCGGCTACTTGGAAGGCTGAGGCGGAAGGATCGCCGGAGCCCAGCAGGCAAGGCTGCAGTGGCCGGGAGCGGCCACTGCACTCCAGAGTCTGGGCGACAGTGAGACTCCAACTAAAAAAAAAAAAAAAAAAATAGAAAAAAAACCTCACAAAAATCCTGAGGAAAAAAGTAAACACTCCGAAGCTGCTAAAACTCAACAACTGAAAACATACAGCAGCAAAGTTTCAGCAACATGTCCAAGACTACAAAAAAAGTTCTTTTAAAAACTTTTGTTAGGGGAAAAAAAAGGCTGATACTCTTTGAATCTGAAAATCTCCTCACAGTTTTAGAAGATCTTGGTTAAAGAATCTCCAAGACATAGTACAAAGATACAAAAAAGCAGAATGTATAGACTAACTCAACTGTAGCTTATGAATCTTATAATAATTTATTCATAAGGTTGCCTATAGGCAGGATAGGAATATATAAGACAGAAATATGTACAATAAAATTTACTACATTTCAACACGTTGTAGTATTTTTAATGCAGTAAAATTTTTTTAAATGTTTCAACAGGAAAAAAACTAAAGCCAAACCTTATCAATGAAACAACCTAACAGACTGTTTTAAATAGCTATCCTTATTGAAAAGGCTCTGGCACCATAAAAATATTCCAGTCAGAAAATGTGAACCAAAAGCATCCCATCCCTATAATCTTTAGTGATTACTTCAGAAAATTCAACCTGAAAATCCACTGTTTGGATCTGTAATTTGGCATTAACTGAAAAAAAGTCCACATAGTTTATTCAAAGAGCAGAGCAACAGAGTTATTTCAGGGGCACTATGCTTCAGATACTCCTGTTAAAACCATGGATAGCAAAGAGGAATTTTCACTAAAACACATTCCTAGAGTCTAGGGTCAACCAGAGACAGAAATGCCCTTTAGACTACCCAGTGTAACAAGGAACCTAAAGGTGACCATTCCTCCAAACACACTTAAGGTACACAAAGCATATATGAATACTTCAACACCATATTACAGTCACGTGTCACTTAACAAGGATATTTTCTAAGAAATGCATGACTAGGCAAATTCCTCATTGTGCAAACATCCTAGAGCCTACTACACACCTAGGCTAGATGGTAGAGCCTATGGCTTCCAGGCTAAAATCTTGTATAGCACGTTATTGTACTAGATACTGAAGTCAACTCTAACACAATGTTAAGTATTTGTGTACGTGAACATGTTTAAACATAGAACAAATACAGTAAAAATAAAGTATTAATAATCTCATGTGACTACCATCATATATACAACTTACAAATGTCCAAAATGTTGCTGTGTAGTAAATGACTACATTACAGTAAATGATGTACCAAATCATTTAACACCAGTGGCATAAGGGAAATGGAGTGGACTAATTAAGAGAATCTGCAAATTTTTTTCTGCAATCTTTAGTAAATAACCCTAATGCATTTTCCTTGTTTAACAGAAATATGATGTCAACGACAGGTATCAATGATAAATAATTAACTAGGGCTTCCGAGAGAGATAACAGTTCCGTATGAAAGCTTTTCTAAACTCTATCCAAAGACTACTTACTGGCCAAATTCAATTGTTCCTTGAAAGTATCCAAGAATAACCATTTCAGATCATTTTAAGACCTTCTCTCCTGGTAGCATTTATCATTTAGTACAATATTATGCTGCACTGCTCAGTCATTTCATCATACACTGTATGTTATCTCTTCTGTGGAGGTTCATTTAAGACTACAAATAAGTCCCATGAGGTTGAAAATCATAGTGTGAAAGAAGAAAAAGAAGGCAGAGCATGGTGGTTCATGCCTGGAATCCAGTACTTTGGGAGGCTGAGGTGAGAAGATCACTTGAGCCCAGTAGGTTGAGATCACCCTAGGTAAAATATGAGACCTCGTCTCTATAAAAAATAAAAGCAAATTAGTTGGGTGTGGTGGTGCATACTAGTAGTCCCAGTACAGTACTTTGGAAGGCTGAGGTGAGATACTTGCTTGAGCCCAAGAGTTCGAGGCTGCAGTGAGCTGTGTTCATGTCCCTGTATTCCAGCCTGAACAACACAGTGAGACCCTTGACTCAAAATAAAAACAAAAAACAAACAAAAAAAAAAGAAAGAAAGAAATTTGGATGCTGCCTTGAGTATTCTACTGAGCACCCACTGTGTACTGTACACTGAGCTACTATGAATTACAAATATCAAGCACTTTCTTTAAAACAGTACTAGGAAGCTCATGTAAAAATAATTTTTTTAAGTAGCTCATAAACAATGCTCTCCTTAACAGTAACGGGAGAATAGTTTTATCGTTCATGTGAATATCTAATATCTAGCTCAAT